ACAATTACTATTGGCAACCTGGAATAGTTTAAATATGGTATTCGTGATAAAATATGAAAACAAAGTGTCTAACTTATCTGTTTGTTTTGTGTAGGGACTCCTGCTGACTGAATTTTGAATGAGCGACTACTGCCACCAAGTGTTAGGATTCATTCAAGTCAAACAAATGCACAAACCCAACACCAATATTTCACTGCGTTTTCAACTTAATGGCCTGCATAACATAAAGCATANAATGTATATTTATATTTCCAACTCTTTTAGACAACTATATTTATTAATCTCAATTATTCATCATATGCCATTGTTTGTAAACAATGTAGAATTTCTGTAGTGGAACAATTAAAGAGAATTCTTCCAAAATGTCTCCACTTTAGCTGTATATGCATTTCCTCATTTCAATTTAGAAGTATGAACACAAATATGTATTTAATAACAAGAGTACATGTTAATTTCCTTGAGACCTATGGAGAAAAACTAATCATCCATTTAATCATAATTTGTTTAAAAGCTTACAATAAAATAACCATCAAGCACTACAATCTGATGATATATAGAAACTGATTGGAAGAGTTTGCATTGTGACTTTTTAGATACAGTCCCTCACAACTAAATTATTGTGAATCAGACTAAAAGTAGAATTTAATCCTAACACTGTGTCTCTATATTAGTTTTCAATAGCTGCCTAAAACATATTGCCACAAAATTAGCAGCCTAAACAACACCTATTTATTATTTAACAGTCTGTCTTGGTCAGAAGTCCCTCATGACTCATCTGGGTTCTCTGCTTAGAATTTCACAAGACTGATGTCCAATGTTGCCGTCTGGGCTCTTCCCAGAAGACACGAAAACTAATCCACCTCCACTAGCTCATTCAGTTTGTTGGAGGACTTTATTTTGGGGGCTGTGCAACCAAGGTCTGCCAGTTCCTGGCTGTTAGCCGAGGGCCTCTCTCATCTTCTAGAGGAGGCCCATATTTATTACATGGCCCTTTCCATCTTCAAAGCCAGCAACGGCATGTTGAGTCCTACTTCTGATCTTATTGCTTTCCTCTTGCTATCCCAAGAAAACTCTCTGCTATTAAAGCATTCAGTTGATACGGTCATCCCCACCTGGAAACCTCCATATTTTAAGGTCAACTGATTTGAAATTTTAATTATATCTGCAAAAAATTTAACAGCAGTATCTAGATGAATGTTGAATAACCAGAGATAAGACATCTTGGAGAACAATCTTTAAAATTCTATCTACCACTATCTGCAAATCCTAGTAGGATTAAGTAAATGGTGACTCCTCATAGACTATGACCTTCTTTCTCTACCTTTAAATATTCCTAGAAATATATAGAAAATACTGATGGTGGCATTGATGATAATAATAATGATACATTTGTAGTAACTAATGAAACCATTTTACTATTGTATTTCTAAAATAAAAGTTATTCTCTATGTGGACAAAGAAACAGACTAAGAACAGCCCTAACTTTTCAGTTCTGAATGCCAACAAGGCAGCCAAATTGATTATTTGGCTTTGATTCTTTTGTTGTAGTGCAAGAAAATGAATTGCATTCATCTTTAACAAAATTTTAAATTTCAGCAAAATTCTCATAGCTAACACATTGCTAAGTTATTTTTAACATACAGATATATAGTTTTAGTTGAAACTGTCTTCTAGTGTTACTTTTATTTGCATTTGTGGAAAATATGGAGAGGAAGTAATATGGAGGAAAGAAAAATTATCCGCTAGATCTCACCATATATGTATTTTAATGAGATTAAATTATTAATACTGACAGTTGACAAATTGGTATCTCCCAGGATATCCATAGAGTTATTAGACAACTTTGCACAATGATAATTTATTTAAAATATTAAGAGCTACAGAACACCGTTGCTATAAAGATGATAAAATACAAGAAGCCAGGAGAGTGTATACCTCAGCCAGTAGTGCCAGAAAATTATTTTTAGGCTGAGAGTTTAACTTTGAAGCATATTATAAATTTGTTTTAAAGTTAGTCCATAAACATGCACACATTGTTATAATAGCAACCAATACTTGGACACAAACTATGTATCAGGTGTCTACTAAGGTTTATTGATTCACATGTATTAATCCACAACATCCTAGGAGTTGGGGATAAGTACGGTTATTCCAAGTCACATATTGGAGAGAAAGCTTAAGTAACTTGCCCTGGGTTAAGGGCTGATGTCAAAGTCCTATGGTGTTCTAGTCCACTTCACTGTTCTGCCTCAAATATCACAGACATGGCTTTTCCCTGTTTTGTAATGCAAAAAAATGGTGTACAGACTGGACAGAGAAGCTGTTATGGACTGAATGTTGTGTCTCCCCAAAGTTCATATATTGAAGCCCTATCCTCAGTGTGATGGTATTTAGATATGGGGCCTTTGGTAGTTTAATTAAGGTTAGATGAGTAATGAAGATGGGGTTCTCATGATGGAATTAGTGGTCTTATAAGAAGAGGAAGAAAAATAGGTGTGTGTGTGTGTGTGTGTGTGTATACTAAAGAAAGTCTATATGAGGACATAACAAGAAGCCAGCCACTCACAAACCAGGGAGAGAGCTCCTACCAGAAACCAATCAGCTGAGACCTTGACCTTGAACTTCCCAGCCTTCAGAACTGGAAGGAATAAAATTCTATTGTTTAAGTCACCAGTTGATGGTATATTTTTATGGCAGCTCCAACAGATTAATATAGATACCAAGCTCATTATTATCTTTTTCTATGTCCCAGTGACTTCCAAATGGCCAGGGGCCTTTGAGACACACTTGGAGACACATTTCTGGGGTGGAAAGTCATCCTCCAGATACCTGGCCTCTGGACCATCAGCAGTAGGACGGAATGAGATGCATAGGGCCCCGAGGGTAAAGAAAGCATTCCAGCAGGCAGGGCTGACTTACAAATTAGGCACAGTAGGCACAGTGCCTGGGGCTCATGACAATTTTAGGGACCTATGCAATTTTTTTTTAATTTTTTCAATAAAAAGAAAACATAATCATCATCATCATCATGCAATAGAGAATCTTTCCTGGAATATGTTAATATTTATAGCAATAAGACATAAATTATATTTTTTATTATTNACACACACACACACACACACACACACACACACACACACACAGTAATTATGTGAGGTGATGAAAATGTTAATTAGTGTTATTGTGGTAGTCATTTCACAATGTACACACATATCAAAACATCACACTATATACCTTAAATACCAGGAGTGCCCAAAAAATGTACACATTTTAAAGGATGTTATCTATGTATTAATTTTCAAAGTTGAATTGAATTACAGTAGCAATGTGTAGCATGATATTTGCTCAAAAGATGGAATTAATCAAATGACTGCTACCATCATTCATTATATTACAATTTTAATACAGTTTTTTTTTCTTTCTTAAAATGTGTATACATTTTTTTGGCACCCTCTGTATATACAATTTTATGTGTTGATTATACCTCAATAAAGCTGGGGCAAAAGAGATCTAAATGAGGAAATGTATCACCATATTTATGGTTTGGAAGACTTAATATTAAGACAAAAATACTCCCCAAATGGATCTACAAATCTTTTTTTATATATGAAGTCATAAGTAATCTACTAAACTATTTGAACTAATAAATGAGTTCAGCAAAGTGGCAGGTTTATAAAGTCAATATAAAATATCATTGTACTTCTATACACTAACAATGAACTAAACCACAATGGGATACCATGTCACTCTCACCTGGTTGGCTAAAATAAAAGAATTTGACCATCACAAGTGTTGCTTATGATGCAGAGAGAATTGGAACTTTTAAACATTGTTAGAAGTGTAGAATGGTGCAACTACTTTGAAAAACAGTTTGACAGTTCCTCAAAATGTTAAACATAGAGTTACTGTATGACCAGCATTCAACGCCTAGGTATATAGTCAAGAGAATTGAAAACATATGTCCACACAAAATTTGTACACAAATATTCACTGAAGAGCCAAAAAGTGGAAATAATCCAAATTCCCATTCATTGATGAATGAATAAACAAAGTGACGGTATGTCTATATGCTGAACTATTATTGGGCAAGAAAAAAGATAAAAAGTATTGACACATGCTGCAACATGTATGAACCTTGCAAATGCAATTTACAGTGGAAGGACCCGGTCACAAAAGATGATACATTGTATGATTTCATTTATATAAATGTCCATATTAGAAAAATCCATAGAAACAGAAGGTAATTTAGAAGTTGCCATCGCTAGAGGTAGGGGAAAATGGGAAGTTAGTGCTAATATCTATGGAGTTTCTTTGGGAGATGTTTAAAATGTTCTTAAGTTAAATTGTGGTGATGCTTATACTAGTCTGTAAATATATCGAAAACCAGTGGATTGTACACTTAAGTTGGGTAAATTTTATGATTTGTGAAATATATTCAATAAAGCTATTTTTAAAAATCTAGTTCTGGGCCCTGCTGTCTTCCTGATATTTGCTCACTCTCTTCCTCACTTCACTTCAACCATTTTGACTTTTTTCTCATTATTGAACATTCTATGCTTCTTAGAATTTGACCTTAGTGTTCTCGCTACCTGGGATATTCTTACTTTGGCTCTTTCAGTGCCCATATCTTCTTATCATTGCATTCTCAGCTCCACTGCTATCCCTTAAGATAACTTTTCACAGTCACCATCCTTTTTTCATAGTTCTCGTTGTTTTTGGAAATAATGTATTTTCTGTAAATTTATTTTTTCACTTCCTTATCTCATATTCCCATTACTGAAGTATAAGCCCTATAAGGGTCAGGGCATGTCTATTTTGTTAGTTGGTTTATCCCCGTTGCCTAGAAGGTGCTTGATGTACAAAAATTACATAAAACGCATTTTTGGATGAGGGAAGGAACAAAAGGGTAAAAATGGGGGTGAAGTAAAATGGGCTATGTTATTAATCAATACCAAAAATTTGTTATATCTTGTCTCATAATTTATTTTCATCTTTTTTAGAATAACAACATTCTGGAGATGCATGAAAATACTTTCTGCGATGTTAAAAATTTGACTTACATTCGTAAAGCACTAGAAGATATCCGATTGGACGGAAACCCTATCAATCTCAGCAAAACTCCTCAAGCATATATGTGCCTACCTCGTTTGCCTATTGGGAGTCTTGTCTAAATCAGATAATGATTAGCATTATCATGCTTACTATAACAAAACAATTCTTACTGCTCTCTTCACAAACGACAGCATTATACTTTCACATTCTGTTCTGAAAAATGATATCATAACATAAAATACAACTCAAAGTTTTAAGATGTGATGGCTGTTAATTAATCTTAGAAAACACCAGATGAGTCAGGAATAAACTAGAAAGATGTACAGAAAGAGCAAAACTAAATTATAGGGAATATTTCACAGATATTCTTATAAATCACATGTAATTTGCAAGTTTTAGGGATTCATATTTTATATAATTTCAAATTGATCATATAAGAAAGAAAAATTAAAAATGAACACTTTAGTTTATTATGAAGATTTTGATTTTGTAATTAAACTTTTCTATTTCCTTTTTTTATTAGAGCATGTTTCTATTTCCAAATTCACTAAAGAAAATGAAGAAAATAATAAAAGTATTTGAAAATTACAATGGTGTTGTGGGAAAATATTTATTATAATTACAACATGCAAATAACCATAACAATAATATACAGCAATTCAGTTTCTGAATAGTAATATTTTGTCATCTGAAAGATCTGTCAATTCATTTTAGGCCTTTGCTAAACTGACTAGTTGGTATATTTCTGTGCCTGTGAAAAAAAATACAAAATTGGAAAATATAGATGATGACATAGCCATTCCAGGGAAGAAGTTCAGGAATGCCTTCTAAGTAAAGTTGATCTTTCTGAAATGCATAATCGTAATACAGCATATGGTTAAAAACTGAAAATAACCAAAAAGTACACAATGAAAGTTGAGTTTCCTTCTAGCTGCAAACCCCAAGTTCCACTCTCAAGAAATAACTAGCCAGTGGTTTCTTACATACCTTTATGAAGTTTTCCATGAGAAACAAAAACTTGCACATAATTTCCCCCTTTCTACACAAATAGTATATATTTACATGCACCACATGTATATACATATCACCATTATGCATATATCTATCCATGTAAACATGGATTTTTA